TAGTAATCAGACACTGATGGTAATAAGCCAGTGGGTCCCATGGCCCTACAGACAAGAGCGTCTGTGTGTGGGAAGCTGCTTTCGGCATCTTCTGTGGGGGGTGGAATTTGAATGAGAACACCCCCCCTCCAGTGGATTACTAAGAATTAAGCTCAAGGAAAGTGGGGTGCATTCATGGTTTACCTCAGTGGAAAATTCTGTGAAGTTTCTTTCAACAGAAGCCTTGGCAACCCAAGGTTTTTGGATGATTTATGCAAGCAAGAGCTTGATAACGTCTGGTTATTGCTTCAGAGTCCAAGGGAAGGTCAAACGAGCCACAAATAACTCAGTGTTCTCTCTGGAAAATTCTTAGGATGGTAAGGAAGAAGAACAGGATGTTGAATGATGTTGATGACAGTGTTTCCAACTTGCAAAAAGCGAGGATGAGAAAGCAGAGGGAAGAGGCATGAAGATGACAGAGGTGGTTATCGGTACAGGGGAGCTGAGCAGATGTTTAAATATTTTGCCCTGTAGAACATTTCTATAATGAGGGCATGTGTGCAAGACAAATCAAACGTGACTTAAAAGTGTGAAGAGTTTGGAGCCCATTCCCTATGGTGGGATGCCTTGCTCGGCCTCGATGCAGGGGGGTCCTGCCTTGCTCGGTATGCTAGGCTTTGTTGACTCCCATGGGAGGCTGTACCTTTTCTGGATAATGGACAGAGTCAGATAGAAAGGAGGTGTGGGAAGGGAACGGGAGGAGAAGAGGGAGGGTAAACTGTAGTTGGCATGTAAAAGGAATAAAAACATTTAAAGCATGAAGAGATATTGGGGCTGGAGAGATGCATCAGTGTAACAGCACTGACTGCTTTTGCAGAGGACCCAGGTTCAGTTCCCAGCACCCACACGGGTGCGAAAAACTATCCATAATTCCAATTCCAGGGCATCTGATACCTTCTTCTGACTTCTACAGGAACTGCATGGATGTGATATACAGACATATATGCAGGCAAGACACTTTATATATATAAAATATAATAAAATAAATTTAAAAGGAAAAATAAACCAAAGAGATGCTTTATTTTTCCCCTCATCCAATTGATTGATTGATTACAAATCTCTCTCAATCATTGTGCCTGGTATTAACTTCATTTGTCATTATGGATACCCATATCATGCTGCCTCCTGATTATCCATTGAAATTCCTGTTCCCACGAGATCACACCATTTACCATCCCATATGTGGTACCTCTTACTGTCCCTACTATGAGATATTTGTTGTTTCAAAGGAGTTGCTCATGTACTACAAAGCTTATCACAAGGCCCGCTTATTACCAGGGTGCTATTGAAGCTGCCCCCAACTGTGGAGGAGTCTGCCAAATTAAAGGAAAACACAATAATCCCCTTGCCAGGTGGTGATAAATTATAGATAGGAAAGAACATTACAGGGATACACAGGCAAGGAAAACATATCATTTTGCTTTTTACATAGGAAAATGTGGACTTCTGACTCACCAAAGAATCCACATTCTTCTTGAGACTTTGTGTCTTTGAACTTGAACAGTTAAGTAGGCTGAGAGGAATAACCATTGAAAAACAAGTTGGGAAGCGATAGGTTAAAAGAAGCAGAGAGCATCATCTGCTCCCTGGACAGGAAAAGACACTAAGATCAGCGTGATGGTTCAAGAAAACACATTTTGTGGCTAGGAATGATAGCCACAAGCTCTAGCCCGAGGCACAAGCCCACCCCAAAGCACATCTTGATGTGCGTATGACATAGCAGAATCCAAGTTTCCTGGAAAAACGCCTTGATGGTACACTGGGACCAAATCCAAATCACAAAAGTTAGAACATCCAGTCACCAACTGGCCGTGCATGCCGCTGCGTGTCTGTCCCTCAGATTGTGGGCACAAGTCCAGGCTGACATCAATGAAGCCTTGTGTTCGTGTGTTAGGGAAGAAGTGGATGAAGAGATAGAGGAGAAACATAGGGATGGAGTGAATGTATGTGACTTCGCTTTGATAATTACCATGATGACAGATGAGAAGGGAAGACTTTACTCATTTACTGTAACCTGTGTAGAGTTCTCTGAGGGAGAAAACAATAGGACAGTTCTGGAACCATCATAAGTACATACATGGATAACGGGAGAGGGACCCAAACAGTGGAGATGTAAACAGTGCTCAGGGATTATGAGGCCACAGAACATAGTATGTAAGAAGAGACATACTATTCTTTGGGATAATTTTTAAATAGCTTTTACCCCAAGGAGACACAATCGACTCCAGGGATGAACCAGACTGGAAATTTGAGAACCCATGAGTCTCACAGAAGTCAAGGTTTACTAATACCCCAGAGGGAATGATTAAGCAAAGAAAAGCAATACCACTGCATCTGTCTGATAACATCCATCAGTTCACTCTGCCTGCAAGAAGCCAGCAGCAGCCATGAAGGCACCTTGACTGTGAACCCAGCATGGAAAAAGATGCATGAGATACTCAGAGGGTGCAGATACGTGACTAGCATAAGATAGGACAATAATTAACTATAAGTCTTGGTGTGTTCTGTCATTTAAAGTAGGAACTGCACTAAGAATATAGCAACAGAGAATATGGATCTTGAAGAGTAAAGAACCAGTGTGGGACCCCCTTCTCCCCTCCCAAGGCTCATGGACCATGGAAGAAGATGTGGAAAGACTAAGAGTCAGTGGTCGAAGGAGAAAGGAGTGAAAGTATCTTATGGACATGACGGCACCACTGCATTCGGGGACTCCAGCTGTGGTTGCCTGTACAAGACCACACAAGATCAAGCCAGTCGACCTTCCTAGTGGATGGGAGGGGCCCGGAGGACCACCTCTAAGTGAGGATCTATGGACAGCTGGCTTCGGGGGGCAAAGGAGAGTCAGTTTTCTGTAAGGGTTTGGTCCTTAGTAGGTCACTAGAGATCCAGTGGGTGGTTCTGTACTCAACGGATAAAGGAGAGTATAAGTTGTGCTTGGTGAGTTATGAAGAAAAAGTGGACACAAAGTTGGGAAGGAATGAGATGGATCCTGGAGGAGTTGGGGGAGGGGTGGGAAGTGAATATGATACGTTGTGTGCATACATGGAATTCTCAAAAGAATTAACACAAATATTATGTTGGAAAATCATTGTGTGGGCTTGGAAACAACCAGTCGTGTAGAGAAGGAGGAACCTGAAGTCAAAACGAGCAGCCTACGGTGAGGTTAATATCAACAATGCTGAGCTTCCGAAAGTGTTCTTTTTCATAGTATGCAGTAAAATACTGTTTTCTTGATTAATAGTTGCAAATAAATATATTATAAAGGAGATCTGCATTAATAAGAACAAATTGAATATCGTTGAAGACACGTAACTCACCATAAGTAGACACTGACACAGGCCATGGGAAACCACGCTGTGATTATGCAGTTTCAAGCCTCCAGCAATTTCATGTAGATCCACAAAATGTAGTTATGATAAACTTTAGATGAGTAAGTTATCCTCTACAGTGTGACCCAAAGAGCTAAGAAGATGGTACGTGTAAATTTGGAAGCAGACCTTGTTCGTTATGATGGAGTGTCAGTAGGAACAGTGAGAAGAGGGGACGGAGAGACACCTGGCTGCTTCCGATGATGCTAAGACTTTAACCCTTAAGATAAGATGTGGGCCCAGGGGATTCCTGGTGTCCACATGCTACTGTTTCCAGAAAGGCTTCTGGAAGTCACTGTATGCACAGTGTGTGATTTCTACAAAGGATATAATAACTAGTCAGTGAGACATCTCAGTGGGTGAGGTGCCTGCCATAAAGCCTGATGACCTGAAATCCATTCTACCCACGTAATAGGAGAGAGCCGACTCCCGCAAACTACCCCCTCACTCCTAACTCATGCTGTGGCTTGAGTATCATCCCCCAAATAAGTAAATAGATGCATTAAAAATGCACTTGGAGTATGTTCACACACAGGAAACTGCTAAGTGTTGATGTGACCCCATTTGCGGTTCCACTTGGGGCAATTGGACATGTGTTAAGTGAGACAATTGAATCACCCTTTCTGGCTCTCTGGGTGGAGAGAATTCTTACTCTCAAATTCTTAATGGCCAATTGCTGTGAGTGTTTCAAGGAAGACCTCTTGAGAGATACTGAGTTCTATTAGCATCCAGTCTTTTTATTTGTTTTTTGGTCACTTCATCATCTTGAGATTATTATACCAATTCCCCAAATGCTATTATTTCATTACATTTCTATTCCTAACAAGTAGTTTTAAAATTTGAATTGTTTGGGGAAAGCAATAGATGGTGGATGTCTTTTTGTTATAGCCTTTTCTGTATAAAATGCTTTTAAACTCAAGAATTTTCAGCCATCTTTTCTCTATGAAGTATCTTTCATTGAGGCAATTACATTTTTATTTTTAGGACACTTGCCTAGATGCAACTAAAAAGGGATTTTTTGTGAGGCTATGGCTCTTATGCAACTCTAACTTACTTGGTTTAATTAGGATGTTCAAAGAAGATGTCAGGTATTCTAACCCTGACTTACACTTAGGGAGAAAAATTAAAGTGATTGGAGCATCCTTTGGAGAAGTTTCCTTAAGTCTGCATGCTAGAATGTTCCTTGAGATTCTAGAATTCTGGGGGAATTTGGCCCATTCTCTTTCCATTGGTAAAATGCATGGGTAATGGAACCTGGCTCTGGCTCCCTGCTTACTGCTGAGTGTGCTCTGACCTTTCACAGCATCTTTTAGAAGAGTTTGCTATTTTAGTCAAAATAGCACTGGTAAAAGCCGGAAGTAATTCTGAGCGTCACCGAGCTATCCACGGCGCTGCCTCACATACACACACAGCATGCATTCATTCTGTCATGTCAGGTCTGCCTTTCACGCAATGAGGGGGTGGTAAGAAGACTTCTATTTTCATGTGGCTTCATGTTTTCCAGGCTACAAAAGCAGGAACGTTTACTTGTTGGCAATGCTCGCACAGAGGACTCTGCCCCTCTGCACCGGAGCAGGCAGCCACGTCACTCACCGGCAGGGCAGGATCCTGACCACATCGTTGGGCTTGTACCCTTCGATGCAGACTGCACAATTATCAAAATCAGACTCGGTTTCCTGCAACAGAAGAAGCAGAAGAGTCGATTTTAACTCCATTTGAGCAAACACTGTTACAAACCAAAGACAATCTTGCCTGGAGCTAGCTAGCCGCTTGGCAGCATCACCGGCCTTCTTAATCAATAATTCACCAACCGCCTTAGTTTCCATCCCCTCCCAACCTTCACGTGCTGTTTCCACTCCGAGAGTTTTTGTGAGGGAAACTCCATCCCCACGTGCCATTCCCAAAACTTTGTAAATGACAATTACAGGTGACCCCAGTCTCAAGGGTGAGGAACTCTGTTCATCTGAAAGATTTATAACATACTCAGTCCTCTGTAATCTAAAGTCTGCATCAGGTGTAAATACAAATGGAGTTTTGTTTTTTTTTTTCTGTCTGCAAACCTAAAAGAGGCTCCTTGTGGTTTACTTATGTTACCATGCTGCACTTTCTACTCTCTGGTTGAGGGGGGAAGATATTGATGAAAATAAATGCTACTTCTAACAGTGTGTGTGTGTGTGTGTGTGTGTGTGTGTGTGTGTGTGTGCGTGTGTGGTTTTCATGCGAGGGCACTTGTGTGTGCGTCAGAGCTGTTCTCATCACTGTCGTCATCATCATCACCGTTATCACCATCATCATCATGATTACTATTGAGATAGCGTCTCTCATGGTACCTGGAGCTCCCCTGCTTGGCTTGATGTGTATCTCATTCTTCCACTTTCCAGTAACTTCTAACCTCCCACCCTTTCCATGGCTCTTCTTCTACTCAAGTAGGGAAAGTCCTTTTGTAAAATCTAGGTTTTCCATATGAAAGAAATTGGGGTGCATCATCTTTCTGCACCTGGCTTATTTTGTTTAGCATGGTGATAGCTAGTCCATTATTGCTCAGATGTCATGATTTCATCCTTCTTAATGCCTCAGTAGCTCTCCACTGTGCATACAGACTGCATTTTCTTTATCCACTCATTTGCTGAGGAGCAACTGTCAATGACTACACAGCTTGGCTGTTACATGCCTAACTTCAAAATTTCTCATGTTTGGCTGCCAATAAACTGCGTGGATTTTTCAAATACTTAATATGTTTAACAAAAACATTCTAAGTACCAGATATGTATGGACAACGCAGGCTTACATCTGTCCCCCTTTCCATTCCTCTCCCTCTTCTGCTGTGGATGCTAGAGAAGAGGAGAGTCTCGTTGACTGCGTCTTCAACCAGAGGTAAAGCGGATCTCACCTTGTCTCCCTTCCTGATGGTCCTGACCTGGAGCTTGCTGATGGCTTTCTTTGCTGCATCTCCCAGTCGGCGCTGAAAAGCCAAAAGCTGCTGGTTAACAACAAAGATGTGAGTCCTCTCTCACCCTCCCGTGGCATTTCATAAGCCAGAGCTCGCTCCCAATCATACCCAATGCCGTGAATATTAAGGGCAACGGGTGGAGACACAGGGTCCTGGCATTTGCAGAGAGTGGTTAGGAATCAAGGCCCGTGGAAACACCGTGGGAGAGGGTCCCTTGTTCCTAGTGTTGGGCTCACATGGCAGAGTCAGCATATGAAAGTGAAACGTCCTAGATTCCATGTGTGTCTGCACAGAGCGGCAACTAGTAAAAAATAAAGTATTTCCTAACTTGCTGAAGCAGCCGGCCAGTGTGTGACTTGAGCAAACAGCCCTCTTTTTCACCGTCAAGGCCTTGTATTTGCTTGTGTCTTTCAGTTTGCTCATACAGACCAACGGATGCAGCCTGCAGCGTTCACTCAACGCTTGTGTGTGCATTTGAGTATGCCATGTAGAGAGTAACGAGATCTTTCAGTACATGCTTTTTAATGTCATGTAAACATGAGGACCTGAGTTCAGAGTCTCAGGACCCATGGAAGAGCAGTTGTGGCATCCCAAGTGTGAAATCCCAGAGCTAGCTGGATCCCTGGAGCACTGTGGCCAGTTAGTCTACCCAACCAGTAAGCACCAGGTTCACTGAAGAACCTTTGTCTCAAAAAAAAAAAATAGATTGCCTCTGGCCTCCACCTGCATTTGAGTTGTTATGAGTGTTCACACACACACATAAATGTGCACTCAGCCACATGAACACATTCAATACGCACACAGAGGGACACACACCATAGAATTTAGCATTTAGGTTAGCAAACAATTACAAATTACATGCCTGGGGAACCATTATCACCCACGTCAAAGAGGAATTCGTCATGCTCCAGTTTTGCACAGGGAAAATTGTTGTCCTAATGAGCCTCACAATGGCCAGGCAGTGCGCGGGGAAGGGCGTGGGAACTCAATCTTAATCTGTTGAGGGGAAATGGGATTTCTGGGTGTGCTTGCACATTCCCTGCATGTTTTTGCTTCATTCTTAGCGAGTGTACTTCTGGTCTTCAATAGATGCGTCTGCTGCAGTGACATGTGTTTGAAGGATTCCAATTAATAGGGCATTGGCTTTGCTCAGACGAAGATGAAGATGATGATGATGTTTAGCTTTCTTTTATCTGCTATAATTTTTGAAAATTTTAATTGGCTTTGTTTTCCTTGTGCTGGGGACACAAGGGTCGGATGCATGTTAAGCAAGCACTCTACTGTTGGGCTACAACCCCATACTTTTCTCCTAAGAATACTGAACATACTAGCTCTCTCAGTTACTTCCTGTTCCTGCAATGAAACACCATGACCTCTTAAGACAACTAGAGAAGGAAGTGTTTATTTGGGTTTATGGTTCCAGAGGGACAAGAGTCTGTCACCATCATGGAGGGGATACCTGGCAGCTGGCAGGCATGGTGGCGGAACAGGAAGTAGAGCTATCACACAGGGAATAGCGCAAGGCTTTTGCCTCCCACAGCCTAGTATTTCTTCCAGGAAGGCCATATCCCCTGAGACTCTCCTAACAGCACCCCCCACTGGGGGCCAATTATTCAAATACGCGATCTAATTGAAACCACACTAGCAGAGAACCCTACAATGTCCAAGGCACTAGCTGAAGTGTTTTATCTCCTTGACCCTTCCAATAGCCCCACGAGAAAGGTGGGTTCTTCAGAAAGCACCGAAGTTTCACAGTTTTAGAGCTTGGGAAAATTACACCACAGCACAGCAAGACAGCAGCCCAGTTCTCCAGCCAGGCATCAAGCCACTAGCCGAGCTGATGGCCAACCAACCAAAGTCTACCAAGTCCTGTAAACCACTTCTCTATCATGTAACTAAGCAGAAAGTGAGCTTTCTCTCCATGGCATTTCATTTTCCTCATTGATATTTTGCCTAGAATACAGCCATTAATTGGCTTCACACACACACACTTTTATTTTGTCCTTTTGCTTTTTGAGACAAGGTCCTACTACGTAACCTGGGTTGGTATTGAACTAGAAATCCACTCAATTTCCTGAGTACTAGGACTGGAGTCATAGTCATGTACCACCATGCCTAGCACATATTTTTATTTATATTTTCTGTCAAATGCAGATCTAGGTTTTAGAAAAAATGGTACTGAACTATAATCTCCCAAATTCCTAAGCTTTGTAGTTTACCATCTAGAAGAATCTTCATAAAAGATGAGTAAATAAAGCATTCAAACAGCATATGGAACCAACCTGAGAAATTTAACTGGGAAATAGATAATTACAAAGGAACTACAGTGGTGGTCCTCAACCTTCCCAATGCTGGGACCCTTTAATACAGTTCCTCAAGTTGTGCTGACCCTAACCATAAAATTATTTTCAATGTGACTTCATAACCATAATCTTGTGACAGTTATGAATCATTATGTTTTCTGGTCATCTTAGGCAGGAGTCATGACCCACAGGTTGAGAACTACTGATCTATAGTGATGCATGTCAGCTAGTAAAGTTGAGTAAGCAGCCTGGCAAAGCCTCCAGTCTTGACCAGTAGTCACCATGTACTGGAAAAAAAGGTAAAACACTGATGCCATTTTATTCTCAGTAGCAAATGCCAGTTCTGCAGGACATTATGTTTAAAATAAGACATGTGAACCCCAGATAAAGAGATGCTGGATGGCTTTCTTTTAATATATATTATATGCTAATGTATTATATTTGTATAATATATATACATATATGTCTTTTGCCTATAAACATTCCTGTGCATGCATTATGTGTGTATGTGTGCCTGGTGCTCATAGAGGCCAGAAGGAGGACATCAGGTCCCCTGGAACTAAGGTTATAAATGGTTGTGAGCCGCCATGTGGGTGCTGGGAATTTACCTTGGGTCCTCTGGAAGAGCAGCCAGTGCTCTTAACTATTGAACCATCTCCTCAGTACCATGAAATGTTGGTTATTTTTCTTTCTTAAAGTTCAGAAAAATCTGTAATTACGTTTAGTTGGTACTTTGGAATATTGTGTCCAATTCAATCGCTTAAATTCTTTTTTGTCTTGTTTTGGTTTTTCGAGACAGGGTTTCTCTGTATGCCCTGGCTGTCCTCGAGCTAGCTCTGTAGACCTGGCTGGCCTTGAATCCAGATATCTGCCTGCCTCTGCCTCCCAAGTGCTGGGATTAAAGGTATGTGCCAACATCGCCCAGCTTAAATTTTTTATTTCCAGTGAGTGATTGAGTAACTAAGTAGAAAATAGCATTTTCAAACAATTGCCACTGATTATACTGCAGCTAAACTACAAGCAATCTATCTCTTCCTCTTTCCTCCCCTCCCATATTGGTTTGCTGTGTCAGGGTCTCCCTAGGGAACCTAGGTTGGTCAGCTATTTCCAATCACCATGTACCAGCCTCCTGGATGCTGAGATTAGAGGCATGTACCCATGGACCACTACATCTGGCTAAAAATAATGCTTTCAAATTATATTTCACTTTAGTCAATGTTTTAGCAAATGACGTATGCTCTTAAACATGAGCATGTAAGATGTGTTAGAAAAAATGCCTTCCAATTTTGGCTGAGTATTTGTCTTAATTTTATTTATATCTACATAAAAACTGGATAGATTTTTTTGTGGTCTTAGAGTTTGAACCCAGAGTCTTATGCATATTAGGCACCCATTAAGGAGCTATACCGTGACCAACGTTTGAAGGCATTCTCGTTCTCTCTTCCAGAAAAAGGCTCTTCCTATGCTGTTTAAAAGGACATTGAAAGCTGCCTTTCTTTAAAAAAAATAGTGAAGTCCATTCAGGAAATGACAGGGAAGCTGACGTTAAGATACCTGGGATCATGACTCATAAGACAGCTAGTGTTTAGGGAATTAGAAAGGCAGACTCCATTCCTGGCATTGGTATGACCCCAGTCCAGATGGTACAAGTGGTTTACTGAAGGGTCATCACTTAGGAGGAGGGCTTCTTAAGTTCCCAGTGCCCTAGAGACAGACAGTGGACTAGTAAGCAGATAAGCCACAGACTCCAGGCTTTGTAGCCCCGCCCCCTCCAGGAAATCCTCAGAAATCAAATGATTCTAAAGCAGTGGCCAGGAATGGTGCGGCTGCTTGGCATTAACTGGGGATTAACTGATAGGGAGGCAAAGCAAGACAAGTGTGCCTTCATTTTATTTCTGTCACCATCACTGCTTCTAACGTGTGGGCCATTTCCTGATAGGTCTGCACATAGGCACATTAATCACTTAAGACATGTCCATCTGAAGCCTGAAGCCCTTCCCCTTTAAGGACAAAGACACCAGGATGAGAGCCACTAGGATTTGTAGCTGGGAAGATGGCTCAGTGATCAGAGTGCTTGCTGACCAAGTATGAAGACCTAAGTCTGGATCCTTAACACCAAGGTAAAAAGCTGGGTGTGGTGACCACATCTCTAATTGGAGTGGAGTGGAGTGGGGGATGGGAAGACTTAGGCAGAGATCCCTGGCCAGGCAGCCTGGTTGAAATTCAAGAATCCAGGCTCAGTGGGAAACCCTGCCTCAAAAATTAAGGTCAAGACATACAGAGGTGGAAATGCCAACATCAGTCCCTGGCTTCTCTGTGTTATTACAGGTAAATGTAAACAAACTCTACATACATGTACCCTACACCTCCAGGAGCCTCTAAGATTTACAGAGACATCATACATAATAGCTTGTGAGTCTTTCCAACATCCTGTCCTGGACTCTGGGATTGGAGTCTGTCTGTCTCTAGTCGTTTCCCTAAACTGGCTAAGAACAACAGTAAGCCTTGGACAATGAGCTTGCTGCTGTCAACAAAGAACTCATCTCCAAGTGGGAACTGAGTAGTTGCCCCTTGAGTGATGAGGACTTCAACTTCCCCAGAGAAACAGTGCTGAGATAATGATCAACCAAACCCCATTTTGACCAATAAGGTATAACTACCTATGCTTCTTGCCTCTTCTGATCAATCTTGAAGTACGAGTCAATACTC